TATTCACTGGGATGTGATTATCCACAAGATCCTCACAATTCACATTAAAATAAAAACAAAAAAAAATAATGATGATCCTAACAGCAATATATATAACCAGCAACAAATAAATATAAAATATATAATTTTATCCTAAAGCATGATTGTCTTGATGACTCTAACACCTACAAAAACCTGACACAAATACAGAAAATTAAATAACCTCAATAGCCATGGATGTCCTTCCTCCAATGTTCTCAAAGCTGCTACTCTTGTACAAGCAAATTTCCTAAACACCAATTCAGAGCCTACAATTCACTGTGGCCTTTTGCTGTCGATGGCTCCCTCCGCTGCTGCCCTTCCATACCTTTCGGGTTGTCATCAAGCCATTGGGCATAGATTTTGCGAGGGTCAATCATCCAGTGTTTGTGGAATGAGATGAGAGGTTCTGGCTGAAGCAGCTCTGGGGGGTAATCCATGGGGCGGCTCTAGGGACATGAGGGAGACAGTTATGCTTGAAAAGAATATTTGCCTATCAAAAAATTCTTGGATCTTAATCATTTGTCAAAGAGAAAGGGCCAAAGTTAGCAGAAAATAAAATAAAAGCAACAGCAGCAATAGCAATAAGAGAAATAGAAGGACAACCAAGAGCAAAGGCAGGGGCAGGAGCAGAGTGGGAGCAAGAGCAGGGGCAAGAGAAAGAGCAGAAGCAAGAGCAGGAGCAAGGGCAAGAGAAAAAGCAGGAGCAGGGGCAAGAGAAAAAACAGGAGCAGGAGCAGGGGTAAGAGCAAAAGCAGGAGCAGGGCAAGAGAAAAAGCAGAGCAGGGGCAAGAGAAAAAGCAGAGCAGGGGCAAGAGAAAAAGCAAGCAAGAGAAAAAGCAGGCAGGCAGGTGCAATGCAAGGGCAGGAACAAGAGAAAGAGCCAAAGCAAGAGAAAGAGCAAGTGCAAGGGCAGGGGCAAGAGAAAGAGTATTGTAGGAGCAGAAGCAGGGGCAGGAGCGGGAGTAGGAGCAGGAGCAGGCAGGCAGGGCAGGAGCAGGAGCAGGAGCAGGAGCAGGAGCAGGAGCAGGAGCAGGAGCAGGCAGGAGCAGGAAGGAGCAGGAGCAAGAAGAGCAAAAAGAAAAGCAGACGAAGAAGAAAAAAAAGAAGGAATGAAATTCAATAATATAGCCAACAGACCTGATGGAATCCCTCTGCATGTGTGACTGGTACCGAGAGACGTGCCAGACATACCCCAAGGAACATATCGTCTGGAGTGTCTATGGTTGGACAGCTGCATACATCAGGGTCAGCAAGTTCTTCCACCTAAGAAAAAAAATAAAAAGTGATTACACCAACAAATTAATAAAATAAAAAATTGTTTTCATGGTGGTTTAGACTTCAGTGTGGAGTACTTTTCCATATCTGAATATTAATTTCCCTTATATGAAACTTGCCTGAATCTTGTAATTTCTAGTTCAATCAAATACACAGGTATCTTTTAAAAAAACTTTCACCCATTAATGTCACTCTTCAACTGCCTTCCCTTAATTACATCCCTTCTCAACCTTCCCGATTCATTCAAATAAGTAAGCTTAAACATGTAACCACTCTTAATAATTGCATCATTTCATGAATTAAAGTTAAAGACCAAAATCACTACAGTAATTTCACATTAACTAACTTTCACCACATATTTAACATGTATCCTTAATCAACTTCCACCCAACATGTTACCAAAGTTTTCCTAATTACAAGAACCTATTTCTGCACCCTTCTTTTAATTTTCTTTCTCAACTTCACTGCTGAATTTTGTATTTCAATCTATACCTTTCATAAAATGTTTTAGCTTTGAATCACAAACTCCCTTATGCTTAAAGGGGAATACACATATGGTTTTCCTACTGTGAGTATTAGCAATTTCTTAAAATAGATTGAGATCATTCTGACCAACTTTCCTTGATTCTGATTCCCCTTACCAGTGCACGACTGAAGATCATCCCGCCCCCTCCAGTGACGTAGTCGTAACCATGTCTTTTGACTGCCATGTAGCCATAACGCTCTCCAATAGCTATCATTTCGTCAGAATCATAACAGGCGAGCAGCGACTTTAGACGAGGAATGCTATTTTCAGGGGAAAAGGAAGAGAGAACACTCTAGTTTGATATCTTGAGATATTATTGCATGGTTTTAGCTAATAGATCATAAGCAATTACAAAAAAAAAAAAATGATAAAAAAATATTAATTCTTATAACAATATAATATACTTCATTTGTATACAAATATCAAACAATGTTCATAACCTTTGATATGTTCTGCATCAAACAGTCATAACAAAATTTGCTTTGTTATCTCTCTGCACAAAACCAACCTGATAAGAGTGTCATCATCAACAATTGCAAGCCACTTCATAGATGTATCAAGATCATCCACATGGCGTATGATGGCAAGAGTTTTCCCACAGTGCCCCCTTTCTGTGTTGGGGACGCCAACTGAAACTGTGCCCCACTCTGGATCTGCAGAAAAGGGTGAAATTAAACTGGGTAGAAAGTTTTCATAAAATTTTTCCTTTCTTCCTTCCTTTCCTTACTCCATCTCTCCTCCCTTCCTCCATCCCTTTCTCCTTCCTTCCTCCCTCCATCTCTCCTCCCTTCCTCCCTCCCTCTCTCCTCCTCCACTCCTCTCTTCCTTCCTCCCTCCCTCTCTCCTTCCTCCCCTCCCTCTCTCCTTCTCCCTCCCTCTCTCCTCCCTCCCCCCCTCTCTCCTTCCTCCACTCATCTCTCCTCCCTCCCTCTCTCCTCCCTCCCTTCCTTCCTCCCTCCCTCCTCTCCTCCGCTCTCTTTCTTTCACTGATTTTTCACATTCTTGCCTCCCTTTCCATCCTATCCATATCTTATAAATGCATCACCTAATATAACACACAAGACACAATACAAGACACAAAAGTGAAAATATCCAATGACCCACAGGAACCACAGATTGCTTATCACACAACATAGATACTCAACACAAAATTTACAGTGCACAACACCACACCTTCTCTGTCACTGTAAAGTGCATGGTTGGGAGCATCAGGAAGCCAAGTGTCTTTGATGACAGGAAGTCGCTCATCGTGGAAGTGTGAGCATGTCTTCACTGCCACGTGGATTTCCTCCGTCTTCAGCTCCCCATCCTGGTTCAATAACTGTAGATGTAGTGCGAAAAATAATTTAATGAACAAAAGTACTTTATATTCAAATATGTATGCCACATCATAATATTCCAATCACCCAACTTTGATCATTTTCTGAATATCTACATCCATGTCTAATTTATATCATTCACCAATATTTCACACAGCAAAACTCACACAGGTTTTATGAGGTTGGAAGGTGACAGCACAGGTTTCCGTTTCAGCTTCCACGCAGAAAGTACGCTCATTGGTGAGCTTTATCCCTGCTGACTCTACAAAGCGAGCGAACTCATACTGAGCATCGATAGTAAAATCAATCTTGGGTCTCGTTGTTGCATCTAGCCATCTCCTTGTCAGTCTGTAAGGCAGGAATTAAATAATATGTGAAAATAATGACTACTCTGTACTATGTGTCTTTGTAATACCTCTATGCTTATTGTATGTTAATGAGACAAGAAAGGGTGGTCAACACTGAGAAAAATATCATAATTATTAATATCTTTCAATTCAAATTTTAAAAAAACTTTTAGGAGAATATAAAGTAGATCTACACAAGACACTGTTACACTCGAGGGGGAGGAATTCATGATTGCCGAGATTCTAACAACATTTACACAGAGCTGCCTATTACTTAGCAATACCCAAAGCAATGTAAACACACACAGAACCATCACTCTTCCTTCTTTGCCTTACAGTCAGAGCTCTTTTTTTCTTCCAGCTAAAAAGCATGTAATCAAATTATTCATTTTACCACACACCTCTTTATATCTCTCCTTACAAACTAAAAATAAACAAACATGACAAGACATATTCATACATGCAGTCCACACACCCTCACATCTAAATAAGACCTATCTACATGCAATCTTGCATACTCCTTCTTTATACAACATAAAGCACACACATATCACATGCACGCACAAACATACACACACACACACACATACACACACACACACACACACGTGCACATACATATGCACAACATGCATACACATGACAACCCTCACACTAGAGTAGCACAACACATCACATCACAAGCACACACACACACACACACACACACACACACACACACACACATACACACACACACACACACACACACACACACACACACACACACACACACACACACACACACACACACACACACACACACACACACACACACACACACACACACACACACACACACACACACACACAATCATCCAACCTTCTTCCCTCACCCACATGTCCTAATTTGTGGCTTTTAAGGACAGTCAACCAAACCTCTTGATAAGTGGGGTGGACAGGGCCATCCCAGCCCTTGTGTCTGGGTAGAGGAAGGGTTTCTTACGGTCCACCGAGTCAAAGTGGTGGATGATCGTGTCTTGGCGGTCCCACACAGCACGACCTAGGAACAATTGCTGGAATATAGAAATGGTAGTATGTGTTATAAAACTATAAGGATGTTTTATCATAAAGCTATCAAAGTGCTATCAAAGTGTTATTGAAATGATACTAAAGTATTAGAAAAAATGTAGTAAAAAGGACACTGTGTCAGAAGTTAGAAACCCTTTCATTACAACAGAGTTCAAGAAATCAAAATTCTAATATATCTGCAGTTGTATTTAGTTCAATTGTTTGGTATTAGGAATCCAGAAAGAAAAACTAAAAGATAAAAAAATAAAAACCTTGTCTTTCGGATATTTCTGAAGGGCAGAAAGAAGTTCTCGGAGATTGAGCAAGGATGTTTCATCGAGAAACACACACCAGGAACTGTTCTTGCCATGTCTTCTGCTTAATCTGTATGAAAATAATTGCTGTAATAACTAATAATGAAGTTCACATAGATATATTTAATACACTACAAAGATATTGGAATTTCATCAACCATCAAGAACACTCAGTCAGTCTCAATTAGTCACAGACAACAGCAATCAAAGTGTACATGGCACATACTCCTCTAAAAGTGGGTAATAGGTCCAGACAGCTTCATCCTCCCAGTCGTCTGTAGCTACATGGACTGCACCTTTCTGGGGCGGCATTGGGGGGAAAGGAATTAATTCTATTGCATATCTAAATATCTTTGCTGATACCATGTTAAATGTATGATGAAGGTTTTCCCTTCTTAATATCTTAATATCATACATCACTAAGCATTAACATCTATGTCATATCTTTTAGTATTAAGGGAATTGTCTACCAAGTTTTTTGGCCAAAAGCTTCTACCTTGCCAATTTTGAGTTATATGCATTTGCAAAGACTTTCAGGGTCCCTGAATCTCCCAAGAAATTTTGAAGGCCCATCAGCTATTTTTCAGGTGGTAGCAGCCACTTTCGATGTCCACCAAAATATTAAGATTTTTCACCTTTCCTTAGAAAATCAGCAATTTTGACGTAACAATTAGATTTAATTTTAAAAATGAGATTTTCTTTTCAGATAGCTTATAAAATTTCATATAACAAGAGACCAACCTTCATTTTTTTTGGAATAATCTCAAATATCTGGGAACGTTCAAAAAAATTTAACAATGAATTTTGTTATACAAATATAGGGGGCCCTCGGTTTATGAAAGTCTTGACTTACAACATTTCGTGGATAAATGTCTTCCACGTGTTCCTTTAGCCCTTGTTATGTTTTCATGTATGTCATAGAAGTGTCTTGTTATATATTCATACTGCATTAGCATATGTGAGTGACTCTGGTACATATATACATATGTACCTGTACTGTATTAAGGTGTGTTCAGACTTAAGTCAAAATTTGGGTTACAATGCCATTGTAGGAACAGATCTCCATCATGAGTCGAGGACCCCCTGTAAATATAAAATCACAAAAGTCGAAAAAACGTTAAAATCAAGCAATATGTCACTCATGTAGAGTATTTTATTTTGTTTATGTTTGGATCATATTTTGTCAGTTTCATCCTTCAGCAAAGTGTTTTGAACATACAACCCCCCCAAAACAGGGGTAGATTTGCAAAATGATCCAGATCACCACCAAAATTTAATGTGATGTAAGTTAGGCTAAAACACACCTCTGTTCATGATTTAATAATAAAAAAAAAATCCTGGATCCAGACCATGATCCAGATGGCCATCAAAATGAAATGGCATCTACGTTAGACTAAGATACACCTCTGGTAAAATTATCAAAATCTCTTCATAACTTTCTGAATAATCCTGCTAACAAAAAAACAAACATTAAACAAAGAATCAACAAGCAAACAAACAAACAGAGGTAACAATATATATAAATATAAGATCATGGAATACTCTCGCCTCAAGAATATGTGAGGGCCTGCAAGTTTGATATTCATTGGCATGGAGAATGACGATAATTCAGACCAGTATATGTTGTAAAACCCTAATAGAGCAATAATAAAGGGAAATAATGGATGATTATATTATATAGAACTATTTCATATATATGATTTGTTATCCAAACTGTTAAAAAATTTGAAGAGGAAAAAAATTGAAATATTTCTATACATTACATATTCACATGTAGCAAACACATTTTTTGTCAAAAATAAATGTATTATGACTCATGTTGTAGCTGAATTGCAGATTTATTGCATGATGTGATTAGTTTTTGCAATTTTTTCATGTGCTTCTTGTAAAAGTGATATATATTTTATGGTGCTCTAAAAGTCATCTACGTAAAATATTCACAAAAAAAAAAAAATGCTCGAAATCGATAAATGTGCTTCAGGCATACAATAGATAAAACTTGGTTCAATTACAAAATGGCATCAAAATGCCTGTATTATTTTGGGGGGATTTTAGAGAAAATTTCTAAAATGGTCACTTTGTGCCGAGAGACACCCAAAGCAATGGGATCCCACTGTAAGATAAGTAGCTTGTTGTGACACTGTTATGTATTGGGAATTTCTGCAAGACTTCAGCATGTAAGTAGATGATAGGAGATTATGTTGCATGAACATTATTCTTCCATCTTTTATTGTTAATGCCAAAATAATCATGAAAAGATACAAAAAACGTCAACTACCATTATTTTGAGAGTATACTTATTTACACATGAAAGCTCTTGCACATGCATTTTATGTCTCATTTTGTAGATAAATAAGTTTTTTCAATTCTTCCCTGTGCTTCTTGTAAAAATGACATATATATGTAAAAAGTAAACTTTTTTGACACCTAATAGTCATCTAGGTATAATATTCCCCCCCAAATAAACCGAGTCGAAATTGAAAAAAGTATACCAAACATTCCCCAGATTTAGGATGAATCTATTAAAAAAAACAATCAGAATGCCTGTGTAATTTTTGGGGGGATTTTTTCAAATTTTCTCACTTTGGGCAAGTTTTTTTTTTTAATATTCATTTCTTGTATTTTTGACTACAACTCAAAAAGTTTTT